AAAAAAAAAAAAAAAAAAAAAGAAAAGGATCACAAAATTACAACACTATCACACTATACATTTCCTGCACACTGGCATTTCATACACTAAATGAAAAAAATCTGTAATTCTCTTCGAATGCACGAGGAAGTGGTATTTTATCTTACTTCCTACTAACCAACGTATAACGATAAAGTCTCAACGGCTACTTATAGACGTTATATCCATACACGAATAATCCATTTTACTAAACGTTCTTTAGATATATACATATACAGCTACTTTATACTACTTGTAATACTATATAATAATGATGATAACTTACCAATTAAACCATCGTCTACCTGCTGAGCTTGACCATCTCCATTCGGTTGAACCAATTTTGATAATAAACGGAACAACAAGGCGAGTACGTCGAGATTATCAGCACTACGCAGAAATACTGGCAGACACGAAGGACGCAGTAAACCCCATATACGTATAATTACGAGCAATTCTCTTAATGTATTTAAGGCCTTATGATCCTTCAAAAGCTCATACTGCGCCAATATTAGATCAAAAAAAAAAATAATAATAATAATAATAATAAAAAAAGAAAAATGAGTATAATTATACACTTTTGAACAAAAAAAGAATTATACTGCTTGATATTTATTTGCAATACTAACACCGCCAGATTTTATTTGCAATCGTTGCTCTGGAAGACGAGCCAAAAGATTCAAAGCTAGATCCGCGACCCATTGAATTAATTGTTGCAACGACTGAAGCGTGCTTGGTTCTACAGTAAATTCTTTGGGATCGAGATGTAAAAGTACCTGGCAATTAAACGTTAATTACAAATTGATACGTTAACGTTCTCACTCTGCGGGAAATGATATATTTCATTTCTTCACCTTATCTACATCAGTAATTGAATCATTAATTACTGTTGCTAAACTTTCCGCTGGTCCTTTGTCATGAGAAATTAAATCTGACGGACGTAATAACGATTTAAATGCTGTTGCTACTGAATGTATCATAAGTAAAGACGATAAGTCCGCCGCTTTACTCTGTCCTGGCACTAGCATCCTGAAAATAAATGATCAACTATGATCTTGCACGAAATTTTTACATGAGAAATTTTTGTGTATAAAAATAACACAACAAAACCTGTACAACGATGTTTTGATGCAAAGAAATTGAATATAATGGTACTGTTGTATTGGCTGTAATTGTCTGTTGAAAGAAACATCCAATCTTTCACACAATGGATCTATCATCGAAGATCTCAAACACAACAGTATATCCAACCAATCTAATCCTGTTACTAAACAATACTCTAATAATGTACAAGCATAACTTAATGTTAATGATGGGCCTGTAAAAAGAATCGGTAATACAATATTCCAGAGACAATCTCTTTTTATATAAATTTAATAAAAAAAAAGAATTACCTCCATCAGGTAGTAATTTGTACAAATATAAATTCCCGCGTGTATCACAAGTTAAAAGTACACAGCCTAGCCAAGATAAGTCTATACTTGCTATAGAAACCGAATTTCTAAAATATTTATTACTTGGCTCCTCGGGTCGCCATGCCATATTCAAAGAAGAAAACGCTATTTCTTTCAAACAATCTCGACTTAAACAATGTATAGAGGAATCTGCTAAAGCTACTACAACGTAACTTGGAGGAGGTAATGTGGTGACTATAGATAATTTTGTAGTCGCTAGTGCTACTATTGGCGACTGACAACGATATTGCGACTGATGTTGCCATACCTTTAATTAATTTGTATTAAAAGCATACAATTAAATACTTGAAACCACACAAACTTTATATATATATTTTATATGTATAATCCTTTCAATTTGAATACATACCACTATAGTCTTAAATGGTTCTAACGTTTTGGGTTGAAACAACTTATGAACTGGTTGCGTTTTTTCTCTTAATTCCCATACTTCTACTACACCACCATTATCGCTGTTAACAGCAATAACCAAAGAATCTGCATCTTCCCTAACTACAAACTTTAAGTGTGTCACACTTGTATCTATAAAAATAATTTCATTATTTTATAATTTGACAACATATAATCAATGAAATGTATCAATAATGAAAACTTTTTCGCTTTGTGAAATACACTACATGTATTGTCTTTTGGCGCGCCATCCTGTAGAAAAAAACTAGGCAGTGCTTGTGATGTGATAGTACATTTATCATCATTTTTACGTACTAATACTCTATAACATCTAATTGGCAAACAAATATTTCCACTACTTATGGCTACCAGAATATGACCATCTAAAAGTTTAAAACATTTTATATTAATCTACTAGTTATTATTAAAGTACACATTTTAACATCAATCAAAACATAGTTGAATAAGTACTTTTTCCATAACATAAATCAACTGTTGTTATCCTATGTCTTGTGCTACCTAAACTTTCTGTGGAGGAACAAATTGGATTCTGAAAATCTTTTGTAACCATAACAGCACCGACCATGCCTGTAGTTGAAACTACCAATACACCCTCTGCTGCTCTACCACCAAATTGTCTTACAGAGGGAACAAACGGTAAGTGATTAAATTTTTCACTATAGTGAATATTATCCTTTTTTTCTGTTACAAGTGCTGTCTGCAATAATAATTTTGTTTTTATACAATCAGTTTGTTGATACCAATAAGATAATTTCTCAGTCATAATTACTTTTTTCCCATTGTGAAACCAAGCTGCACCTAATATATGTTCACCGACAAAACAGGTAGAACCAATTGGTACCCAATCGTTAAGAACATGATCTTTAAACATCCATAATTGAACATTTCCAACGGAATCACACACAACCAACTTATCACCTGGTAAATCCCATTCTAATGCAGTAATTGTATTTTTATTTGATAATACCCTAATGTGACAGAATAACATTAGCTAATTTTGTGAAATTCTCAAATAGATAATATAAACCACTTAAATATTTCATACTTGTGAGTATGCCAAGGCATGTTCAAGTCGCAAACATAAACATGAGATCCCCATGTTTTTCCACTGTTATCATCTAATTCTGTGGTTGTAGTAAAAGCAGCTATGTTACGACTAGATAATGAGCATAGAGATTGTCCCTCATACAGGCTAAAAATTTGATTACTGCATATACATTAAAGGATTGTGTTTTAAAAAGTATATTCTTGGAGTCAATCTTAATTATAATATATATTTAAAATTTATAAAAGTATATATCTATCAATTATATCAAGTTATCAATAGATATATATGTTACAGTAAATGAAATTTAATATATGTCATCTTTTAATAGTTCATTTGTTTACAATACATTAATACGAATAAGCATATTATATCAATGAAAAGTTATTTTTAATTTAATATCAGAATATCTATAAAAATTTGACAAAAAAGAGAAAATAATAATTACATACCTTTCTTGATTTAGAAATGGTTTTAATGTCACTTTTCTATTTACAGTATACAGTAAATCCATTGCTACGAGGTTATGTTGTGTTACAATTTAATAAACACTATAAAAATACACTCTATTTGTTTATTATATTTATGCATTACAATGTACGAGAATTTAAATTATACTAATATCAATTTTTACTAAATTATGCAGAAAATTATGTTGAAAAAGAAATAACAAAACTACATACATCACTGTCGTCAGCACTGCGTCATGTGCTAGACTGCTGGACTATGTGTTTGTGCTCTAACCCATTCGAATATGCACTCTTCGTCCTAATTTAGGTCATACAAAATTATGAAATTTTTGCCATTATTTTTAACTAACTGACTTACCGTTGAATCTTAAAGCAACAAATTATAAAATATCCGTAGTACACTGCCATCCGTTACTTGATTCATGCAAGTGTTAATGCATTTTAACCTCGCTCCATTTGTTTTGATTCGCTTTTGTCCCTCAAAACTGGCTGTATTAATAAATTATATTTGCATTGTTTCTTCCTTATTTATTTCAATTTCCTTTACCTATTTGTGTCATAATAAAAACCCAAAATGTTGCTTATATATGTCTTTGGTTATTTATTTTATCATGGTGTAGATCAAAATGTAGACAAATTATTGTTGCTAAAGTGTGACATTAAAAATTAATGATATCATTTAAATGCATGATTTGAAAATCGCATTAAGATTGAAATAATGTTAAAATGGATCATAGACTGCTAGAAATCTTGTTTGTTTATATTTTTGCCTTTTGTTTATTCTGCATGTTATATCTACTTTTTAAAATATACATACATCTCAAAATGATATATTTATCATTAGTTAATTAAATAGTTATTTCCTCCCACAGTAGTATGTATCAATAATTATTCTTTTTCTGTCCTTTATTATCTTTATATATACACTTGAAATGCTATCACTTGATTCTTGCTTGTGTATCTCTATTTCTTATATGTGTTATAATTTATGGAATCTGTATGTGCATGCCATATATCTAAGCCAGAAAACAATTTAATAATTTCATTACACAGAAAATGGATGGTGGTCAAGCAAAGGGCAGTTCCAAACCAAATGAAAATATTACAAATAAATCTGAAGAACCATTAGGATTAAGTACAAAAATTGCTCTTGAAACATTACAACGTGACGTTAGAAGAGTGTTGCAGGAATATGAAAAAGAATACAGGAGAAATAAGTAATTTTTTCATTATTAGCTATTCATATTAAAGAACAAATTCCATAATTTATATTCTATGTGCTGTATATAATATCTGCAGAAAATATAAAGCTTGGCTAAAGGACACCTTACATCATCGTAGTCAATACACAACTCTTTGTTGGACTTCAGCAATTGCACTTTTAATCAATGCCATTATCCTTATTATTACATTCTTTACAATCAATGATACAAGGTACGAATTAACTTAATTTTTTTTTTTCATATATCAAACACAGTTATATTGTATAGATAATTATGATGATAGATGTAATGTAGATAATGCTAGTCAAAACTAGTTTGTAATTTGTAAACTGTATTTTGTATTAAATGCTAAATACTGTTATAGATCTTCATTTCATGTGTGAACGAATATATATAACATACAAAATTTTGTACTATTATAGGTATCCTACACTGCATTATGAAGGACTGACTGTCTGCTGTCTAGTAGTGTTAAATTTTATTCTAGTTGTGTCCGATAATAAATTACGACACGAAGAAATTCCTTACAGAGTTCGAGTTCTTCTCGACCAATTGGAAGGTACTTTTACGTTTAAATATTCTACACTTTGCCATATTTTAAACTTCTTTCACGTGATACTATTTCAGTGGCAAAGAATAATTCTCAGTGGAATCCTGAAAATTATCCACATTTGTGCAGTCCATTGTCTCCTTGCCTGACTCTGCAGTGGACTTATCGCGATGGTCGCATAGTTAATTTACCCTGGGCATTACTAGTTGCTGGTGATATAATTGTTATAAAACCTGGACAACAAGCACCTGGATATTGTGTCCCTTACGATGTAAATTGAACATTCTAATTGAACAATTTAATACATCTCATCATACATAAAGTAGGTGATAATAATGAGAAGTCATTTCAGGATGCTGAAGCACCGGTGCTGCATACAAGAGAAGTATACAGTCCGCAGGTCCACAGCGCAAATGAAATTTTTTCAACGCCGCAGGCTCGATTACCATTAAAGAATAAGATCTATAAGCTTCAAGAAACACCTTACTTGATGAACCTTAGAATGGCTCTTGACCAAGCTCTCAATAGGCCGGTTACATATCACAATCGTAAACGGCATCTCTTAATGATTTGCTGCATCGAGCAACTAGCTTATCCAATTCTTTTAATCATTGTGTTACTTGTCAATTTGTTTCGATACTTATACGTGACAGAATATTTCGGTGTTGGTTATTGGGACGAGATGTTTTTACGTCAACCAATTGCTATTAGTATCCCTTTGCTTCCGTTAGTATTTCCGACTTGTTGGATTTTTTTAAATTGTTTCGGAATGGCTCGTTTCAAAGCTCTGTTTAAGCTTTATCAGTCTTCGAAGAAACTTCAGGTTAATATATATCATTAACATAAAGGAACTTCCATGTCGAATTATCGGCAGAATTATTCGTACGATATTGCCTAAAATGCATTCGTTTCAGTTTGTAGATCCTTTCGAAGACGCAGATATTTCTGGACCTAGTCATCCAGAAGTAGTGTACAATTGGTTGGAATTGAAAGAGTACTTCTTCAGTATTCTATTTGGTAAAGAGCACATGATGTCGAGATCCGCCAGTATCCTACACGTTTTAGGATCAGTCACGGTATTATAAACTTTACAGCTTTGATTTGTTTCAATAATACGAAAGAACGAGTAAAAAAAGCAAGCCAATTTCCAGGCACTGTGCTGCGTAGATAAAAAAGGGATTCTTTCGTGGCCTAATCCGACCGCAGAAAAAGTATTTTTCTTACGAAATGCTAATACTTTGTCCCCGTCATCGAGGTAAGGGTAAAAATTCATTAGATCAATTCAATTAGGTAAATTCATTCATCAGCCGCAATTATGGGATCATGTTACAGTATCGGTAGTCTAGACAGGACCTCGGAACCTCAATGTCAGACACAACAAACTGAAGACTCGAAACAAGATTCAAACAAAACTTCATATATAACGCACGGTAACACGAAGATAAAGAGAACAAGTAGCCGTAAAAGATTCATTCAGAAAGTTTGTATTGGCTAAGAAACGAATTCGTTTCTAGACATGTCTCATTCAACAGCCGAAGTTTTGGACTTGACTCACGATCATGCTCTGCCATTTCGTCTACAGTTTGACGATCATTCCTGGAGGCAACATTTGAACTCATTAAAACCCCTAGGTTTAGCCATCCTCCTCAACACGTGTAACATGGACACGCAAGAGCATTATATGCAGTTTTGTTGCCATGTCACATGCGAAGCTCTGTATAATGAGAATCTTGTACCGGTTACGAACAGACGGTACGTACCCACGTCGCTGTGAATCACGTTTCCTTTTATATCTTTTGTTGCATTGCACTTGTTTCCCTGTTTTTCTTTTTTTTTTTTTTTTTTTCTGTGTGCATTACTCGAACTAATTCCCCCCAAGTGTCAAGCTAATTACATCCAGTTTTATCACACGCATAATCCTGTGAACAGTCCAATTGATAACACGTCCAATTACCAGTAACGTTGATCATACACATTTGTCAGCTACCAGGATCACAATATAGAAGATAAGAGTGGGTATCAGGCAAAAGATACAATGCAAAGTTCAAGACAGGTGTATTTAGTCGACGAATCAGGGAGCCTTGGACATATGTGGTCAGTCCAACCATAGTTATTTTACGTATCCTCCATATTTATAGTTAATCCGTTTTATATGGGTGAATGTATCCGCAAACATATATATTCATGGGAATGCTAATCACGGGACAATCTCATATTTCTGTTCTATTCTTTTCTCACTCGTTCATGTGGATCCCCGTTTTTCATTCAAGTTTGCGTATACGATTCGTACAGGTGTTTATGCGAATTAGCGAAGCAGATAGGTTTCCAAGACCAGGCACAAAATATATTTCAATTGGAGCAACAGTTGTCTACGTTTAGACACGTCGTAAGCATTGTTCACAATCTTCCATTTGCTGGTCTCTAAATGAAAAAATTACAACACACGCACGCACACGCTCTCTCTCTCTCTTTCTCTTTCTTTCTCTATTGCAGCAACCGGAAATGGTTCGACGAGATATAAAATTTGCACGATCTTTAAGCATTGCAACGAAATTAAAATTCCCATTTCCACACATGGTGGCCGTGGTAGTCAGAGAACGAACCGGCGGCGGTTTACAATTGCTAACACAGGGTACAGCAGACATAATTTTAGATTCCTGTATCGAGTTTTGGGACGGCCATGATCTCTGTCCACTTTCAGCATCAGATAGGTACGTGAAGATGTAAATCCTCGAGCATTCTTTTCTTATACTTTGAGAGAACTTATGGAGAAATAAGTATGGTACATTCCAGGAAAAAGGTGCAAGATTTTTATCAGAGAACCAGCCTGACGTCCTACTGCACCGCATTTGCATACAGGCCATTGACGCGTGGTATTTGCGACAAAATGTCTAAACTATATCTGGAGCTTCCTGCGGACAGTAAACATTTGTACGCACCTCATAGAAGTCCAACACCACTACCTTGGGACTTTAGAAACGTTCTTGATCCTAGAGTAAAAGGCATACTTGGACAATTTCATTCGACCGGTAATACAAAGATGTTACTTATTACTTCAAGAGTTATCCACGATTTCAAACTGATCTGTTCTTATGCGATACCGCCTTTATACAGACTCCTTGCTGTGCAATGAGAACAAAGACGATAATGTAAGCGACGTGGACAGTTGCTTCGAAATTCAATGCAATCAAGTCTTCATTGGGATGGTGACTATGCAATACCAAGCGCAAACGGATATGGTAGGACATATGGATATGATTAATGTACATGCGTAAAGTCGTGTGATGAAAGAGATTGCATAAAGTGCTTTTGAACAGGTGCAATTGATCGAGCAATTGGACAGAGCTTGCATCCGATTTGTTCACTTCAGTAAAGAGAACGAACTAAGATCGCGCGTATTCTCGGAGAAAATGGGGCTCGAAAGCGGATGGAACTGTCATATATCGTTGCTCAGTGAAAGAGCTAGGTACCGTACCTCATTTTTCTGCCAACTATCATTGTCTCTATACCAACTATCTTGCTTTGCTTTTTTTTGCTTTTGGATTAATCTGACAAGTTTGGGGCATGTCCTCACGTTGGAAAGTATAAATATGTTCTTTATTTTGTACGTGTAAAGTCTGTGTATAGAAACATATTAAACACATTAAAGTATTACACTAATCGTGTATGTCGTTGGTGTTACATTCTTTCTTATTCGTCGATTAATCTGAATATATATTATATACATATATACATGTATGTCGTCTCTTTTCTCTGTGTCTTTTTTCTCTTCTCTAATCTTGTTGTTAAGTCTAAAATAAATGGTGGCAACTGATAATAATCAATTTGTTTAACTAGCTATTCGTCATAACTGTGGATGTGAATGTAAAATATGCATGTACGTTACAGGAGACAGCAATGGCTGGAGAGATATCCACACATGCCCCCATCGTATATGTTTGTCTATACCTCTTTCTTTCATTACTGTTACTACTAATTTGCATGTTTATTCGTTACGCTCTCCTTAATGATAATATTTATTTCTTACTTTATTATCGGTTTCTACATAGAGTTACAACAGTTTCTTCGAATGCGAATTATCTGGTTTTCTCTCCCCCTTTGATTTCAAGTCTTGTCAAGCATTTTAGCCCTATTTTAGTTTCAGTACTATTTCTTGCCGACGTATTCTGTTTACTTTAACGATTAGAGCATTAAGTTAAAGCGATTGTATTTGTGCGCCGGTAGTCAATATATTCTATTAGTTTTTAATGGCTTCTTCATTAGCGAATACAACTTTTTAACTACATACGATACTTTGATACACTGTTCTACGATTATTCTAATGCACATGTGTTAATATCTCGTTATTTACATGACATACACAATGTACACGAATAAATGTATGTAACTAACACGCCAATATTAGGTCCGAGAGTCCAGTGGGTTGGTGGGTGAGCCAGGCAGCAGCCATGTCCTCACCCACTCCCTCGGCCCAATCTCATCAGCATAATTACTCCTGCATGGATGAGGCCAGCCACTTGCTTAATCGTGTCTCTCCTCGGTATGTTACATATTTACCCTTTTATCACACATATAATACACTAAAAAAAAAAGAAAAAAAAGAAAGAAAAAAGTAATAGATCCTCGAATCGGAAGTGTGCTTTCGGTTCACGAACGCGATATATTCGATTAAGAAGTCACCAGATACTCGAACATTAAGAGCATGCGTTCAAACATTTCTGCTGCATAAATATACTGCATCGATGTGTTCGTGTTTTTAAGGATTCTCTACCCTGCATGAACGATGCGCGGCAAGACCGATTTTCCATAGTATGATCTATCTTATATTGTAGCACAAATTTGGATAATAGCCGTGCCATGAGTATGTCTGCGCCAAGCGCCATAAACACCGATTTCTCTACGGTGAAATTCGACGACGAGACCACGGAGTGGAACGATACCGGGACATCTCAAGTGAAAAGTGCCATGAGCCACAGGTTC